CATGGATGCTCACCATGGGGATGCCAATCTCGTTGGTCCCAATGTACATGTCGGGGCAGATGACGGAGCGGGCAGCGAAATCCACGCGCTTCCCCATCATGTGCTTGCGGAACAGCCCCTCCTTCTTCTCCAACAGCTTGGGAAACACAAGGGGACAATTAGAACCTGCAAGTCTGTGTCACCCTGCTCTTCTAAGTTCTTCTAAGCCTTCTGATGTTTATATTTTTGTAATGGAGTTTCTCACGCACTTTTCATGTAAATAATGATTGTTCTGCATTCCTTTCTGAGGGAGGAGAGAATTGATGGACTGTTGGTTGGACCAGTGTGGCTGGAGAGGTGGCAATTTCATCCTCCAATCCATGGCCACTTTTGAAAGTCTATAAATATTGGAGTTTGGAAATAAACTGCTCTGTTTTTACCTTGGACATCTCAGCTTGTGTGTGCTGTTCATTTTGTGTCCTATTGCGACAAGTATGGAAAACCAAACGGATTCTTGCAATGAGGAATGGCATGAAAATGCCCATGCACTAACCACAAATAGTTCATTTTTCTTACTCCATCAGCTTCTCTGTTTTAATTAAGACTCCAGCCTGTACCCACCTGACGAATCCCAGGGTATTTGTCTGTTATCAGCTTGTCCATGTCACTATCAAACACAATGTTGACATGGCTCTGGAGGCGTATCCAGGCGTTGTACAGCTTATCTGCAATGCTCTGTCCTGGAATTGTTGTCAGCACAGAACGGTCCAGAGGTTCACTATCCTCTCCTGTCTCCTGCAAAAACAGAAATTAGAAACTTGGACATAACAAAAAATACTTTCTACTTACTAGGCTGAAGTTATAGTGTTAATTACAGTATTAAATATAGCAAAAGAAACATTCACAATTATCTTGCACTGGTAATCAGTCCATGCTAGGAATCACTGTAACTAGAAAATCCTATTCTTAGATTAAAATAATGTAAATCCGAGAGATTTTATCACTTAACATCACTTTGTTTTCAGTCTAAAAGCCACTAAACCAGTCACATCCAAAATTCATTGACCTCCTGTCAAATGCTTTAAGAACAGGTCTCCATCTAGTGGCTACATTGTGAGTAACTAACAGTGTTTCCAAAATGTTTTACACTGCAGATGTAAATCAAGTTCCCCTGAAACTGAGCCCAGTGTCAAAGACTCCTCCATGATAAACTGATGAACAAATATGGAATGAGGCAAGCTGACATGAACTGTTATTTACACTATACAACTATGTGAACTGGCAGAAGCAGACAAATATTGTTGCTAACTGTATTATTTATGAAGTTTTACATCCTACTTAGACATCAGCTGTCAAAAAATAAACACAACCACAACTGGCTCCACTAGGCTTAGAAACTGAAGTGATTTTTCACCCCTCTTTTAATGTGTTGAAATGCTGGCAAAGTTTTATTGTGAACTGTTTGTGCTGTACATATTTAATTCTCTAAAAACAGGAGCCTGTTATGTTTCACATACAAAAATCCATGGCTGAGAGAATCTGAGCAAAATGGTTTTTTCCCTTTGCACCAGCCAGAAAAGAGCAGAGGGGAAAAAAACCAAATGGTATGGAACATCTCCATCAGCAGATATTCCAACAGCTCAGGCAAAATCTGTTACAGGAACAGCTTAAACAGGAGCCTTCCTGAACTCGACCCACCCATCCAAAAAAAGCAAAGAATAAGACAACCAGCAACTCTTACTGTTTGAATTTCTTCTGTGATCTTTATTGGCTGACACTGTTCTTTGGCCATGAAAACCAAGAGCTTCCTGATCAGCTGGGCATCTTTCATGACAGCCTGCAGGTTCACAGTCTGCCCGTTGGTGAACAGGCGATCTCCCAGGCGATTCACAGGACGGTACCTACAGCAAATCAAAACCACCTCAGAGGACCAAAGCCACTCAAAAGCAGCTTGAAAAACCTCAAACATTCTAAGCTAAATCTTCAGGGCATGGGAAATAATCCAAGCTAAGTGTGGTCATTTAAAAATTCATATATTCTACTGGGACAGTCATAAAAATGAATGATCCGTAACAAGAAATTCTATCAGTACCATGCAGTTACAATACTCTACATTCACTTAAAATACTAATATAAAAATACTAAAATACTAAAAATAGATATACTAAATACCAAGTAGAAATACACTACATATATACTATCTATTTAATATATTATAAGCATATATTATATTAATATATACTTATAATATACTTTATATACTTATAATATGCTAAGTATATACTAAATACTAAAATATATTTTAAAATATAAAATACTAAAATATATCTTTTCCATAATTAGTATTTCAGTCTTCTAATGAACTCACTTGAAGTTACAATAGAATTTATCAACTACTAGTGTGATTTTTATTATTTAAACACTCCACTGACACTTAAGCAGACCAGTGTCTGTATTACAGGAGTTTGGATCTCCAAATCCTGCAGAGGGTGCGCTAAATCCTGTGATTTCTACAAGGTTTTTACCTTGAAGGTGGAACCACAAGCAGATCTAGAAAAAACATGTCTGGACTGAATTCTGAACTCTCATGGGGATCCATCCCAGGGAAGAGATAACGCAGAAAGAAACCTAAAAAGAAACAAAATAAATAAAAATTCATTCTCATTGCTATTGTTTGGGAATCCAAACCCCCAGATGCACTTGGTCAATCAAGTCTAAAGAATCTGCTAAGTTAACACTATTGAGCCTGTTTAAAATAAAAACATTCAGACACAGTTTTTGTCACATATGAAGTATTTTAGGAACAACTCTGGACAGAAATATAGATTATAGCAAATGGAGAAAGCAGAAGTAGAGGAAGAAAGGTTCCAGCAACTAACTGTGACTGATTCACAAAAGAGCTTTGGTTTCTCATGGCAAGTGCAGAGAGATTCAGAGCACAGACAACCCAAAGAAGAGGCTGATAAATCCATTCTCAGTCTTTAACCAGTGTAACTGTGGGGTGCAGCACCACAGGAAATCACAGCCTCTGCTAACAACTGTTGTGATTTGTGAGGAGCCACAATTTGAGAATAAATGATCAAAGTGTTAATTGAATCCAGGTCTCTGCATTCACTGGCTGCCAGTCCTGTCACAAAACCTATTTTGCAGCCAGAAGCCCCTAAGGCAAAAGGCAAAGATTTGACAAGGAGTTCATACTGGAAGATTTGCAGATTTGGCCAGTAAATGGTACAGAAAATAAAGTCATGTTACTCTTCACAACCATTACCTTCATTCTTCCACAGAGCCAGGATGTATTCCTTGGCAGTCATTGGTGTCAGGTAACCTCTCTTCCCTAACTGGCTTTCATCAATACCTGAAAAGTAAAAAATAAAATAAAAATAAAATAGTTATTTAAAAAAAAATCTCCAGACATTACTCTGAAAGGTGTGGGCAGTTTTTTGCTTACAGTAGTGCTTCCAGCTCAGAGAAGGAATGGAAATATAAAATATACATACAAAATATAGTGGCTGACATCTACATCAAAATTAACATTTAAATGTTTGCTTTGGGAATATGAAATTAAGTAAAAAAGAAACCATTTTTGTGACTAGTAAATATGAATATAAGTAACAGAAATAAGACTCCATTCTAACATCTAAAATTTATGCTTTTTTTTCTGACTTATAGTGAGCTGGAACCTTTCTTCAAATGATCTCATCTCCTGACCAAAACACAAGTCAAGTCTCAGCCTGAAAATGGGGAAGCTTTCAGAGGGGTTCAGGTACTACCAGGGAGGTTTCCATGAAATACTCAACTGAAGGAGAAAAAAGCACCATCCCTATTATAGATGAGACCCTGGGCAACCTCTGCTTTGGAGAGGAAGGAAAACACATGGTTTTGCTACTATAAAAGCAAACCAATCAATTATTTTCAAAACAAAGCCAGAGATTTTAGCTCTCAGTTTCTACAACTCAATGAAAAGCAATTCTCCCACAACCTCAGACAGTGTCCTATTCTTCTTCTGGCTTAGGTTCAGAAATGCAGATTTTTGCACATTGGAAGTTCAATTCTCCATTCACCTAGAAAACCTTTCCTTTCCTCAAACAGAAATGCATCAATGCCAAGGTTAAAGGTACTCCCTTTTGGGAGTTAACCATCCCAGGCTATGCACAATGTACCTAACTGGGCAATCCATCCCAGTTCAGAACATGGAATACTTCCCATTGTGCTTCTTCAGCCACAGCTTCAGAGATTTAATCTAGCATTTAAATCGAAACAAAATAAACTCTCTATGGAAACCTTTCCTAAGGGCTAAATAACACACAAAAATGTCTGCTTCAATTCTATCTCATTGTGTAAAGGATCAAGGATATGAGAAGGAAAAGGAGGTTCAAATTCATTCAAATTAATTAATCCTGGAAAGTGCCACCTTCTCTCTTTTTTGGCTTTTATTCTTTAAGAGGAAATCAATTCACAAGAGTTAGGATTATGTGATTTTCTTTCTGAAGTTGGTCAACTTCCTCCTAATTAATTTTACCTGTAGTTGCTCTGTTTAAAAAATCCAGCAGAAAATCAACTACTTGCCAAAAATGAAGTGCCCCAAAACCACCCTAAAGTTGACAAAGATTATGCTGTTGTAGTTCTTTTCCTGACACAGAAAGCTGCAAAAGCACAACAGCTCTCAAACAGAAATTTAATGGAATTGGTTTCACTCTGACTCCTGAGCTTACTGGTTTTGTTATAATCAGTATTTTTTATAAATTACTTCCAAGTGCACAGTCATTGCTAAGAATCTGTGCCCCTTAAATGCAGGGGGAAAGTGCAAACATATTTGAGTAGAAAACAAATATTTCACCTGCTGTTTCATCCAGAATGCCTTCCTGTCCTGACTTAGGGTACACTGTGGAAGGATAGGTGACTGTCAGCTTGCTGTTGTGCTCCTTTCGCACCAGTGATCTCCTGGATCTTGAAAGGGAAAAAACCCAAACAGGACAGGGAAATAAAGATTAATATAAACACAGCATTTAACCAAAAACCAGCTTCCTCATGTAGTTAAACTTACTTGCAGTTTGGGCATTTCTTTGAAGCCATGTGTGCTTTCCAGAACTCTGATACCAGTTGATTTCTACACTCACACACATTTTTGACCTGGTAAAGAAAAAAAAACCTTAAAAATAATGAATATAATAAGAATAAACTAAAATATGTCATATGAAGATTTCACTAAACAGCACACAATCAACATTACAACATGAACATTAATAGTATCAATGCACACACATCCATGTACTGATTAATTCATGCCTTGATCTGTAGTGTTCTTTCATCATCTTCCCATTTGCTGGAGGGACACATCCCTCAATGATCTCCATGCTCCTTTTTCAATTTATTCCATGAAGTCTTAAATTTTCAGGTCAGTATTGTAATTTAAAGTTTTTCTCTAATGATGATTTAGGTAAGTATAAAAATGACAAAAAACCACTTATTTTGACAGCTCATAAATGTATGATTTACAAAGTGCTTAAGCTTAGTTTTAAAACAAGTGATCAAGGAATTAAAACTGGCTTATAAACAAATTTGCTCAATGATCTTATTATCTAAGTATCTTCTTCACTCACCTCTACTAACCATGCACATTAAACTACATTTAAATGGAAATTAGAATTCAACTACACAAGTCTTCCTAAAAATGTCACTGTAATTAATTCTGCAAGTCAGATGCATGAGTTCTCAAAATGTGTTCTGCAGCTCAAAACAGTCAGAGCATCAGACAGAGAAGTATCAACATCTGTAGGTGGTGTACTGGCAGCAGTATCAGATTTTAATATGGCATTTACACCACCAAAACATTTCCCTGCACAGACATTTCCCTATTTTCCAGAATTTCAACAGTCACACTAACGGGAAATAAAATCCTTTTTAAGTTTAATTTCAGACATTTCCCTCAAAAAGCCCTCTAAACATAACATAGTTCAGAACTGGACAAAATCCAGCACCTACAAAGCCAGGTTTTGCTTTGCACATCACTATTTTAAGAGGATAAAGGCCAGGATCTCAGGAGAAGCACTGCCTGTACTCACATTTGAGCACCGATCTCTGGTTTGGGAGCTCTGTAACATTTCCTGCACATGGCAATTCAACTCCTCCTCAATTTCAAAACCCAGCACCTATACAAATCCTACACCTACATGTCCTGCACATCACTCTTTTAAGAGTTAGATAAAGCCCAGGATCTCAGAAGCACTGGATGTACTTACATTTGAGCACCGATCTCTGGTTTGAGAGCTCTGTAACATTTCCTGCACATGGCAATTCAACTCCTCCTCAATTTCAAAATCCAGGACCTACATGTCCTGCACATCACTATTTTAAGAGGATAAAGGCCAGGATCTCAGGAGAAGCACTGCCTGTACTTACATTTGAGCACCGATCCCTGGTCTGGGAGCTCTGTAACATTTCCTGCACGTGGCGATTCAACTCCTCCTCAATTTCTGAGCCTGTTGCATCTGCACACTGCTCTATAAACTACAAGGAACAGAAGATAAATTGGCAGAGAGCTTTAGAGCTGTGAGAGCACCCAAAAAGGGATGGAGCATCACAGAGTACTTGCCCTGTTCAGGATGATTTCGAGCTCATGGACAGCATGCAGCAGCCCTTTCTGCAGCACCTTCAGCTGGCTCAGCAGCAGGTGAACCACGGCTCGGGGACATGTCAGCATGTGGCAATTCAAACAGGACCCTCTGATCAGAAGGTACAATTTCTGCAAAGGAAAGGGGAAGAAAAAATTATCCTGACAGCCTGGGCACCAGCAGCCCTTTGCCCAGCAATAATTCAGTACATTTATAACACATACATCAAAGAACAGGGGGTTGTAGACAGGCAGAGGCAGCTCTATGTGGCCGAAGTGCCCGGGGCAGTTGCTGAAGTTCTGCATGCAGGTGGCACACACTTCTCTGGAGTCCGGCGGCCCCAGGGCCAGGTCGTAGAGCCCGTTCACAGCTGGATTGCCCACATTGTCCAGGTACTGAGGGTTGGTGATGGCCTTCACACTCAGCTTCCTGAAGCGGTGAAAGGAAAAAGTGAAAATCAACAGCACTAAGCTTGAATGGTCCAACTAGTGTCAGAACCCAGGACAGCCAAGACCCCTGCCAGGGGGCTCAGAGACTCTGGCACAGAGCCCAAGATGCCTGTGGTTTTGATTATGACCCATGGAACAAGTTACCAACCTTATATGAAGATCTGCAAGCCACAACAGTTTAAGTAGAATGATAGTGAATTTATCACGGGGTGAAAAAATTGATTTTGGGGTTTTTAGAACAGGGGTTCAGGGGGCAAGATGGAGGGATCTGGGCATGTCCAGCCTTTCTCCTTCCTCTTCTTGGCCTCCATCTTCTGCTGTGATGTTGGCACTTATAAACTGGTTTAGAGTAGAAGCTCACTGTATAACATAGGTGATAGGTATTGGGAAGTAATTGTAAACATCGTACACGTAGTTTTTACTACAAAGACATAACACCGCCCCAGAGTGCCTCTGACTGTCGTACTGAACGGACCTCAGCTGGAGAGAAGAAAATATTTTATAGATAAGGAACAATAAACAACCCTGAGACCGAGAACTGAAGAGCTCTGATTCCTTCTTCAAGCACCACGCTGGGCAAAGAGACTTTCCAACTTTTCTCGGGGTCACTGTGAGCAGCGAGAGATCCCGAGACAACCTAACATGGGCATTTAGTAGCTGTGTGATCTNGGTAACTGAAATAAATAGGGGTGGGTCAAGAGCCCAGGAGGAGCCCTTGAGAAGACAGGAAGGACTGTGCTGCAGAGAATGGAGCAGAACAACACTGCAGTGAAGATTACAACATGTCATCTGCCTTGCTCCCTTCCCATTCCTTTACTGTACACACAATTTTAATAGAACACAGCCCAGCCCAACCCCCAGAGCTGCTGCATACCTGAGATTCACACATTGAATCAAGATTCAGATATCCTTTTGCAGGTCCCTTTACCCAGGCTTTCCCACCAATTTTTGCTTTCCCAGTCAAGTTCAGTGGAGCATGGTTGTCTGGAATGATGTTTATTAACAATGTGGAAACAACCTATAAAGAAGCAGGATGAGGGGCAGGAATTATTTTTTTGGTATAATCGCTTCTCAACATTAAAAAATCTGCCATGAATGAGAAAAGCAACATCCTGCATGTATTCTTTCCACTGACAGCAAAGTTTTAAAAGCTTGGAAGTCTCACAAGGCAGGAATATCCTCCGGCTACTCTACCCTCTAAAGGAACAGTGAGCTGAGATATGTAATTATTCAGAAATATAAAACAGCAAAGATTTTTCCAATACTTAGATATATTAAAAATTAAAAAAGAAAAGCTGTCTGTTGGCTTTCACAGCTCAGAAACACACACCAAAACCTACATGATGTCAATAGGATTTGCCCTTTCAAACACTCTTAGCAGCACTGGTTTATTATTAGCATTCTGCTTACTTTAAAACCACCACCATTCTTTAAGCCTGTAAATGATAAACTACCTGCTTTCCTGTCCACAATGGCTGTGGCTTCACAATGGCTGGAGGAAAGGTTTGAATTCTCCCTTTTTTGTCTGTCAGCCCTCGGTACACCAGCTCCATGTACTGCTCCCTGGTGAAAAAGCAGCCCCGCAGTGTCATGCTGACCCCAGAAACCATGTGGTCCTGGATCAGGCCAGGAAGAGGCTTCCCATCCTGCAGAGGGAACAAGAAAAAGGTGGTGAGGGTGGGGTTAATAAGTTGTGTGCCTCCAGCTCCCAAAATTATTCCCCCTGCAATAAAGCACTTCAGTAATTAGTAAAGAACTCATTACAGCACAACTCTCTGCTGAATCTCTTCTGGACACTGCCACTCAAAGGAACAAGATTGTGTGGATGTGCTGGGCCTTCTTTAGAGGAACAGAACCACAAGTGGAGAAAGAACAGAAATAAACCTCAGAAGTAATTNGGCGTGGAGGGAGGGAGGGAGCGCCTTTTGTGGGGCTTTTATCTGCTTTTAAACGCCTTTCCCGGGATCTTCCCTGGTTTGAGGCGGCTCGGAGCATCCTCGGGAGAGAGTTGGAGCGTTTAAGAGATTCCTAGAGGTGAATCTCACGAGAAAGCGAATGAGCGCTTTATGGAGGCTGAGAAAGCTGGGGCTGTTGAGCCTGAGAGGGGAATTTTGCGTGTAGACCCCAAAACTGAAGGGGGCCTGCCAAGAAACCAGAGAGGGACTTTTGGTCAGGAGATGTAGTGATAGGAATAACAATGAATAATAAGTACAGATCGAAAAAGGAGAAGTTTAGATTAGCTATTGGGAATAAATTTTTTATTGTAGGAGTGGTGAAACACTGTCCAGTTGCTCAGCGAAGTTATGGATGCCCCAACCCTGTCAGTGTTCGAGGGCAGGTGGGATGGGGCTTGGAGCAGCCTGGTCTAGTGGAACAAGATCTTAAAGGTTCCTTCCAACACCTTAACATTCCATGATTTTACGCAATGTTTTTGTTTAGGAGCCTTCTCAAATGAAAAGGTCCCACTTCACTGGGTAATCGTTACTCATTTTTGGGATGGCAAAATCATATTTAATGAGTTTGTGAGCCTTCCCAGGAGCAGCTGGTATCGTGCAGTGGCACGGTGAAGCACCGAGCTGTGGCTGCACCTGACAGCCTCTCCCTCAGGGCCAAGGTCAGCGTGGAGGCCCTGAAGGCCAGGGCTGCAGGAAAGCTTAGCTTCCTTCATGAGCAAAATGAGTGCAAGCATTTTAACATAAGCCTTAGTTTGTGTTGAAAGCAGTGAAATGTGAGCAGTGGTGAGCAAGGCTTGAAGCAGTGCTCTGTGGTACTCAGCAGAGTCCATGGTCTGAGTGTGCTGTGCTTTTGTGAGGAGCTTCCACACATCTGTAGAGACAGCTGGGCATCTGCATCTCACCAGGGCTGCATCACTACTCTGGGTTTTCTCCTTCTGTGAACACTACTTGTGTCTAAAGTTGTTTTTTTTAAGTGCTGTTTTTAGCATGATCCTGTCTCTAAAGCATAAAGAATCTTTGCTGATTGATGTCTGTGATTTTCTAAGCTGCACTAGTTTGTGAAAACTACTTTAAAAACACTGTACCCCAATATTAAAAAATTACAGATTTTTTCTCGTAGTAAAATTTTTCGCATACAACCTCTTGTCCCTTGAAACCAGAGCCTTAAGAGAAATACCAAATGTAAGTTTTGTGGCAATAATTTGGAGTTAATAAGAGTACAACATTGCCAGTTACTCTAATGCACTCCAGTTCCCTCTAATGTTTTAGTTAATTCTGACCTGTAGTATGGGATTTCACTACTCTGCTTTTGCTGTTTTACTGTGGCTGCCATAAATTCCAACCCCTGGTTGTTTATAGGAGCTCTTCAAGTAGTCCTGCTCTGGGGAAGACTGTGGACAATCCACAAGGTGAGATGGCTTCGTTACTGGTTCCTTGCATATGTTCTTTGATCTCCAAAGAATACAGGAGATAAAGGTGATGTAAACACCCTCTTTGCCCTCCTTGGATTTTCTCTCTCCCTGTCTTCTTTGTGCATAAATGTCCTGGATTATCTTGTTTCCTTACCTTATCACCCATCAGCTCCATGCTCCAAGAGCATGAACTGAGTTGTGCAGCTCCATGAGCCTGTGTTGGACTGTTTTAAAATCCTTGTTTTAGTACTTTCAGCTGGATCACTTCACATGAACATTCTTAAATCCCTCCAGGGATGATGACTCCACCACTCCCCTGTTCCAGTGCTTGACAAGCCTTTCAGGGAAGAGATTTTTTCCTGATATCAAATCCAAACTTCACCTGGTGCAGCTTGAGGCCATTTGCACTTGTCCCTATCATTTGGGAGAAGGATTGACCCCACCATGCTACAACTTATGGGGTCAGAATTTTCTTTGGGCATCCCTTTGTTTCTAATGAACTTTTTAATATTGTTTCTCACAGTAACTCAAGAAGAAATTGTGCTCCCCCGAAGGAAAACGTGGTGAGTGTATCTTCACTTGAAAAGAAAATCAGTGTTTGACAGCTAAATGTAGTCTGTCACCAAACCTGAAAAAGAAAATTGAGGTTCCTGTATTCCTTGATGCAATGTCCCACTAGGGGTTTTCCTGCTGATTTGGAGCTCTGTGAATACTCTTGATTTTTACTCTGCAGATCATACACACTGCATTCCTGACATTTCTTTTAAAAGCACTTGCAACAAGTGCATTTTTAAGCATGGTTCTATTTCTTTGTAAAAGATCACATTTGCTAAAGATCTGTAAGCCCAAGTTCATTTGGGTGTTTGCATGTGAAAGTGTTTCTTCAGCAAAATAAAACTTAATTGTTGATAACTGAATAAATCCTTAGAAATCACACAACTGAACAAAACCTGTTTGGTTGGGAGCACTTAAGATAGAATTTCATGACTCTACAGCAAAAATTAAATTTATGGTCAAATGGTGTCAGCATGTAAACCTGAAGTAAGGCCACCTTCACCAAACACTTTCACTGGCCTTTCCTTGTTTGCTTGAAACAGCAAAAGTCTTAAGGTTCCACAGGCACAGGAGTCCTGAGATACCTGGGTTTGGTTTGGTTTATTTCTTCTTGCAAAGACATGTCTTGTAGAGAGACTTAATGTATTTACCCTTGGAGATGCTCTAGGAGCAACATTCCAAGGAATTATTTTCTTGGAATGAATGTTTCTCCCCTAGGATATTTCTTTGATAACGTATTATAAGGGCAGGAGTAAGAGCTGTAAACACAGATGCTCTTCTGGTTTTCCTCAAGATTTTTTTTTCTTGGGGTTGTTTAAGAACCAAGACCATTTTGCATTTTATCTTTCTTTGTGAGAAGTGATGTTTTCTTAGTGCAGCAGAAACATTATTTCCTAGAGCTCAAAATCCTTGTGGGTTAGGATAATCCTGTGCTGGTTCTCCAAGCAAAGTCATGCCCAGCATTCCAAGTCTGCAGGTGGGAATTAACCCAAGTCCTTTGTGCTTAGGGATAAACTCGCCGTGCTCCAGACCTTGGCCTCTACTGTCAACAGGGTGAGTGCTTCTGTGGGCTTGGAGGTGGCTCAGGGGTCCCTTCTGTGCAACACCCTGCTGCTCAGGAGCCCTTTAATTTCTGCTTTGGCCATAAATGAGAGATGGAACTGTCACATCAGGGTTTTCCCTTTGGCTCAGGGGGTTTTGCTGTGTCCTTAAAGCCTCATTCATGTGCTAAGAGAGAGCTGCAGTGCTTTGCTAAGGCTTTCACCACCACAGGGAGCAAGCTCCTTCACCAGTTCCTTCCCAATCCAGAATGTCCTTCCCAATCTCAGTCCAGAAAAGCTTTAAAAAGTGCAAGGAGTGTCTGCTCTTGCTGGGCAAAACCTGGAAATGCTGTGATGCTGTTCTTAAATCCCATCTAACTTGAATTCTGGGAATTGAATCAAAACTTGCCAAGTCCCACCAGCTTCCCAAGACTCTTACATTTGGGGTCCTACTTTGCAGGGCACTCACTGCTTGATATATTATAGGCAGGACCTTTCTGTCACCATATTAGCCTGCAAGGGTGTGTGTAAAATGGAAACATTTTTGAAATTATTTCCAAACATTTTTTAAAATTATTTCCTCTTTTTGAACAAGAGGAACTTCATTGGTGATGGTTATGATGGAAGAATTCCTTGTGCCCTAAATTCCATGAGGCAGTGTGTTGTGGATGTGCACATCACTGTAAACTTCTCATTGCTGGGCTCTTCTTCCTACAGGATCCTACTGCTGCTCATTACATGTTCCAGGATGACCCTTTCCTGATGCCAAGAAATGCAGCTAATTCTGTAAGTATTTCCTTTCACTTCCTTGATAGCTTCCTCCTGCCTTTGTCTAGGCTGTGAATACTCCTACCTAATTGAAACCTGGTTTTGATTGCAAAAGAAAATTATGTATCAGATTGCTTTCAGAATTTTCTCTTCTCTCTAAAATGAAATGTTTTTGAGCTTGAGGTAGTAGTGCAGCATTTCAGATGTCTGAATTGTGTTCCTTGACTAAGTAACAAGGAAGTAGAATTCAATGGCATTTAAAGTTAGAGATTCTTTTACTGGCATGAATACCAGAAGGTTTATCTGGAATGTTGTCCCTGTCATTCTAGTAAGTTGAAAATTACATGAGTTTAATTTGATCCCATCAGAGTGTTCACTGTTAAATGAAATGTTTCTTCTAATTCTCAGCCTTGTAATCTGTGTTTTTCTCCATCTTGTTCTGTCTCATTTCTGTGCAGCGTCTGTATGCTGTGTCAAAGGAGTCTGGGAGAAATGCTGCAAAATACATCATAAAGAACTTTCCTCAGTATTTTGACAAGACTTTTGCAGAGCCCAACGTACCAGTAAGCTTTTTGTTCTTTATTTTCATTGTATTTGTGCTTTGTCACTGAAATTTACTGTTGGACTGGTCCAAAACTAAGATAAAAGGATAACTTTTAAACTGTTTTGCAGACAGTGCTGTATTTCCATTATGTTTTTGTAGTGGACGTTTTTCAGTATCATATCAGGTTCTTGAGATAAAAGCAAGAAAAGCAGTGGTTTTTAGGTGTTCCTTCCTGGCACAAAGTGAGGGATGAGGATGTGTGTGGTCCTTCATCACCAAAAGCACTGCTGTTGTTAGGCTGCAAGCAGTGCATTGGGTGAAGAATAAAGGATATATAGAGAAGGTTTGAGCTTGTGACCAACTTGCCCTGTTTGTTTCAGAGCCTGATGCCCCAGCCCGTCACCCCTCGGGCTGAAGGAGTGAGCGAGGAGGCTCTGAGGGAGCGCGTCCACCTCAGGATGGTGAAGGAGTCTGTGGACATGTTTGATCAGCTCCTGCAGGCAGGTGTGTGCTCACCTGCCAGCTTTGTGCTGGAGCTCTGCTTAAATTGGGCCAGAAATACCTCAGCAGCTGCCACAGGCTATGGAGACAATTGTGGGACTCTTGTTTCTTTCACAGCTGACTCTGGTCTGGTGAAGTGGAATTCTCTAGAATTGCTGGAGAATCTTAGCCACTGCTTGTCTGACATGTCACTTTGGTGATAAGGAGAACAATTGGCTTCTTGAAGAGAAAGCAGATTAAATGCTTCTGTTGATTTTGAATGTTTCATAGAAAGTGAAACATGCAGAGTGTTCTTCACAGTGGGATGTGTCCTAGGAAGAGTTATGACAAGCACTAGAAATTTCAGATGCTGTGTTGGGCTTGTGCTGCTTCACAGTTCTGGCTGAGAGCTGTCACTTCCTTCTACTTGATCAGGAAAACTCTGCTCTTTCAGGAAAACTCTGCTCTTTCAGGAAAACTCTGCTCTTTCAGTGGCTTCAGTAGAAAAACATTCTCTAGTTCAGTGTTGAAATTGTGTCCTGTGATGACTGGGTTTGTGGCAGTACTGGTGTCACAGCAGGGTTAGGGACTTGCCAGAGAATGTCTTTGTGTTGGAAGAGAGCAAAGTGGTGTTCAGAGGGTTCCTGATATGGCTGTAGAGTGGTGAGCTCTTCGCTTTCTCTGACTGTCATAAATTCTCATTTTCTAAAGGCACCCCTGTGTCTCTGGAGACCACAAACAGCCTTTTAGATTTGTTATGCTTCTATGGAGATGGTGAACCTACTCCTGAAAAAGAGCAGGAAGAAAAAGAGGATTTGGAAGAACCAGGGGTATGGAAAACTTGTTGATCTCTATTTATTCATACATAGTTGGGAGTATATCGAGGTGACATCAAGGTTTTTGTACTGTCTGTGTGGGAGATGCCATGAGGTGGATCAGATGCAGTCAACATTCCCAGGAGATATTTCTGTTAGTAAATTCCATGACTGACCTAGCAGCAACAGTAGTTTGTGTAAAGCTCTTAATATGTTTAATAACATAAACATTATTCTCAATCTAGCTGTTGCTTCCTGAATGTTGTGATAGAAATTATTCTTATATAACACATTCAAAACCACCTTTGTTCCACACTGCTGAACTTCAGTTTTGTTAGCAAGTCGTGTCATTTGATGTTAAATCATAATTTAACTCTGAGAAACTTCTTTTTGCACAAATCTCCCCAGGTGGATGCTTCAGAACAGAAAGCTCCAAAGAGACAATTTCGAAGAGGTGCACAGCCTGGCCCCAGATGGAGGTAGAGAAAATGTTACCAATATTCCCATATTCCATGGGTTGTGCACTTCTATTCTTATAGAACAGACCTAAGTCTTGTTAAATAAACCTGTGTTTGCTGTTCTTATAAAGTGTTCATGGAAATCTGGTAGGTGATTGTAGAATAGTTTCAAGTATCACAAGTGTGATATGTGAATGTCAGTCTTTGGGGGTACAGCCCTTATGTTGAATCCTTCTAAGAGCATCTTTTATTTGGTTCTTTAACAATTATCTTTAACATTTATCTTCACTGGTTCTAGGGAGAACAACCATGCTGAAAGGATATTTAAGATAATGCCAGAGAGGAATGCCCACTCCTATTGCACAATGATCCGTGGCATGGTGAAGGTAAAGTCATTCTTCAGTGCTGGGATTTTTTTCAGCTTTTCAGATCTCACATACTCAGAGATGGTTTCATTTTGTTTTCACAGCACGGGGCTTATTCTAGAGCTTATGACATGTACATAGACCTGCTGAATGAAAGGCACAAGGGTGAGTGTGTCCTGGCTGGGCTTTGTTGGGCACAGTTTGTTCATGGCAGTGATGATTGGCGCAGGGGTACGGACCTCAGCTGCATCATGGGAGCTGAATGCAACCTGGGGATTCAGTGCAGCTGGCATGGGGCTGGCTCTCTGGAAACAGGTTTGCATGAGACTTTGCCAGAAACTGAGCCATGCTAGAACAAACTGTTTCAAACTGTTTCCTGTAGGCTGTGAATTGTCGTGTTAAATGGATTTTCTTACATTTTCCAGCTGATGTGCACACCTTCAATGCACTGATCAGAGCAGTCCCGTATCTAAAGGACAAATTCGTAGAAAGATGGGAATTAGCCAAGGTAAGGAGGGTAGAGCAAAAGAGGTGGGGAAGTGGTAAGAGTGGGCTCTTTTACTAATAAGGATCTGCCTTATTAGTAATTTTGCAGCTGTTGAAAGACCAAAAGCAAGACCTTTGTCCCCAGATAGTAATCTTTGCTGTAAAGGAAGTACAGTAGCTTAAACAGAAAAGGTAACTATGGAGGAGTGGCAAATGTGAAAAATCCAGTCTTGCCTTTGCAGAGTAATTTCCCTTGTGAGAACTTATCTGATCCAGGAACTGCCTGGACAGAAAGTGATTGGGGAAATTACTGCTGGGAGGTAAAGTAAATGAACAATTTTAGATTAAAACTCTGGATTTCAATTCATGGCGTTGTGACAGAAATGGAATTTTGAGTTTTAATGACACTTCAGTAAAGAAAAATATTGTGTAGTTATAAAAATGTTCCATTATGTTCTAGAGACAATTCTCCAGAATTTATTCTGATGTAATGTAGCCTTGGGGTTTGGTCATTAAAAATTAGATAGTACTGATTAAATAATCAGTTAAAGCAGAGTTGTTCACTTGAAGTGGGTAAGAAGGCTTAGGTTGAGGAAATGTATGTATAACCCACCTGAAAGCTGAACTGTGATCCATAATGTTTGTAGCACTAAGAATTTGGGAATTTTGTTTGAAGGACTTGCTGACTCACATGGCTCAACAGAAAGTGCAACCAACTCTGCTAACTTTTAACTCTGTACTGAAGAGCCTGAGAAGATGTGGTGGTGTGGGCAGAAGTATGTCTTTATTTGTATTAAAAGAAATGGAAGCACTTGATATAGGTAAGAGAACCAGAGTATTTATTGTATGCAGTATTAATATTATATATTAACAATATATTAATATATTATATATATAAATATGTATTATTATTTTATATAGTATTTATTGATATTCCAGTGCCACCTCCAGAACAGAGCAGTTCACACAGGAGTTCAGCACCACAACATGGTGGTGATTCCCTGACTCCAGGGAACTTCACAAGCCACCTAAGCCACTTCAGGTCTATACATCTACATCTCTACAGAAAAAAGCTCTTCATCTAGATGATGATTTTTTTCTTCCAAATAAGTATTGTAGAAACAGAGAATATCTGCAGAATTGATTTGATGTCCTGTGGGCTGTGCTTTGCCCCAGTAACAAACTTGTTGATAAGCTAAAGATTACATTCATGTGCAAAAGGGAAATATTGTGAAGTATTTCTGATTTTAATTTAGAGCAGGGAAGCTTGGCTGCTCCCCCATAGAAAGAGGATGCTCCAGCTGGTGGAACAGTGTTGGATATCCCCTTTCCCTGGCGTGTGGTGGGTCTGGCCCAGCATTAGGGTGGGCAGGGAGGGATATCACAGTGCATTTATGCATGCTGCCTGCCTGGAGGGGCAGCCTGAAGTGGAGCAGTGGCACAAAGCTCACAGGAGTGTGGCAGTGACTGAATGTTTCTCTTTGCAGAGCCCAGCCTGGCATCCTATGACCACCTGCTCTCGGTGTATTACAGAGGCGGTAGGTGTGGCACCGACCTGCCTGGTGTGGCAGCTGCTCTGATGCTCTCACATGTGATGGGTGAAGGCAGTTCACTTATGGCCTGAAAGACAACTTTTAATGGGTGTGATCTTAGTGTTCCCTGTGCTGCCTGGTTCTGCTTGGGTGGTAAAAAAGGATAACCTCATCCAGGGAGCAAAGGCTGCTCAGTCACTGTGGAGGCTGGCTCTGACCTCAGTGTGGGATTTCATGTTGTGCCACTCACAGGGAGTTTGTTTTCCTGCATTAGAGCTGGCATGAAAAACAGCTGTGTTAGAAACAGGAACCCAACTGTTTAAGATCCCATTCCCACAGATTTTTGGCTATAGGAAGAGAAAGTGGCAAAGTAGCCATAACTGCAGTCCTTGTGTTTTAAGAAATGTAAAGGAATTGCTTTGGAGTCTCTAGAGGTTTGGTTCTGGAGTTTAGGGGTTTGTTTAGTTTTGGTTTTGGTTTTCCCCCTTTTAAATTTTTGTTGGTTTATTTATATTTAAAAATATATTTATATATTATACTTCAAAAGTATATTATATAAAAGTATAAATACTTTGCTTTTTCTAGTGCAACTTCTAACAGACAAACTTCCAGGCCTGTTTGATTCCTTGCTAGAAAGCACTTCTGTCTTTCTGAATCTGCCAGCCTGATGTGGAAATCTGGCAATAGCAGGGCAAATTTTAGAGCAAATTAAATTGCAGCTGGTATGGAGCACGATGGAAATTATATTTGTTTAAAATTATGTTGCTTGTTCCCAATTTTGTAGTGTATTTGCAGACTGATGCTCTTCACAAGGAAGTGCTTGGCACAGCTGAGATGTGTTGTTGTCTCTTTGTCCCACAGTTGAGGCTCAGTCATCAGACATCATCTCTGAGGTGTTAAATGAGGTTGAAAAGCGAAGTTTCACTGCTCAGGACCCTGATGATGGTAAGGACTTCAAGCTTGGGTGAAAAGGTACCTGTGAATGTCTGGTGGTTTTACCAGGCCAGGATAAATGCATGCAGCTTGATTCTCTCAGGCCCTGCTGGTATTTCTGGAGACAAAGGGCAGATTCCAGTGTTGGGAATTGTGCTGTGCATTGCTGCACTGGCTTCTGTTTGAAAGCAGGTGGGTAGCTTGTGTCAATGAGCATTTTAAGCCCATGTGATTAAAAATCCTAGGGTTATTACAAGAGCAGTTTAAGGAGGAGTAGTTTGATGAAATGATGCACATCAGGTGAATGGCAGGTTTTTGCTGTAAGTGTAGTGTGTGTTTTCCTATTTTAGTTCTTCCTAATCCTGTTGAAAAAATTTCATTAAATAAAGCTTCATGGGAAACTGGAGTGTGGATCTGTAGGAGGGGAATATCCTGAACATCCCATGTGGTTCTGGCTCTTTCTGCCATTTGTATGTCCACAGCTTTGCCCTGGAAATTTCATAAATCTTTCTGTAGGTTTGGAAGCAGATTCAGCTTCCATCTGAAGATGGGTTTGGCAAAGAAAGGTCTCCAAAGTGGTGTTAATGGAGTGTTGAAAGCCATTCTTCATCAGCTTTCTTTTTTATCTTTGGAAGAATTCCTGGAAATAGCCAGAATGTTGTACCCCTCCTTCCTTTGCCTCTGTCCTGCTGGATGTGCTAAACTGTTTCTTTCTGTGCTCTGAGTTGTTGCTAGAAGTGTATAAAAATCCCCACCCAACTCATGCCATGCCAAAGATGACCAAGAAAGCAAAGAGCTCTGCTGTATTGTCAAACTGAGCTGCAGACTGGGTTTCTAATTGAACATACCTCATCCAGCCTCTGGAGGGTGGGTTAATGAGTGGTTTGTGTCTCCTTGGAAGCTTGAATTTAACAGACTTTTGTTTGCTCCCTTTCAGCCAACTTCTTTAACACGGCCATGCAAGTGGTAAGTGCCTCTTCCTTGCCATCAGAATTCCTCTGAGCCCCTCCAGCTGTTGAAAAATTGCCTGTGAGTTTGCATCCTGTCACACAAGGTTTAGCTTTCAGTATCTCCCATTTTCATCTGTGCTCATCACCTCCTCCTTTCTGCCATAATTCTGCAGTTCTTTGCTTGACTCCTCCCTAACTGGTGTTTGCATGCCTGTGATCTGTGCATGTACCTCTGTGACTCTTGTGAGTTACATTGGTCACAGCTCCCAAATCTGGTTTTTTTTGTATTGCAGTGCTGTGATCTCAAGGATATCAAGCTTGCCTATCAGTTAAATAGGGCCCTGGAGAAGGGAGACAACTGGAAATTCTTGGATGTGGATCGCTCAAACGGCTACTGGTGAGTGCAGGGAGGTTGCATTCAGCATGGTCTGCTGCAGGCAGCTTCAGTACAAACTGGGATTCAGACACTGAGCACCAGCTGTTATTGTGTGTCCAGTTTGGGAATTAGATCTTTCATAAGAGCAGTGATTGCTAAGGATTTATTTTCAGTTTGTGGCCTGTGAACTGAAATCCAGTGTTGTGGAGCATCAGTTTTATCTCAATACCCATCCAGCTAGAACAACCAGTTGTGGGTTCTGCCATTCTGTTTTGTACCCTGCATGCAGCTTTGGAGGTAACACCAAACAGCAAAATTTCTTTGTGTAGGGATGTTTTCCTAGTCAGTGCACTGGATCAAAGATTCAGGCTTGTCTTGTAAACTTACATAAGTAACAAGGTTAATTTAGTTCAGTTCTTATATCCAAAAGCTGCCTTTGAAACAGATTCAGGTACCTTAAAACTGCCATCAGGCAGGAAGATTTTTAATCTTTAATGCTTTTTTAATATATTTTAAAACAGAGTGGTCTGATTAGTTCTGCCAATAATCTAGTGGCAGCATTGAGCTGTTGTAAGAAACACTGCTGCATTTCTGATGGCATGGAGTGTGGCAGCCAGCGAAATGTCCTTGGTGTGCAGTACAAATCTGATCAGCACACCATCATTTGCTGGTACTTTCATAGTTTGCTTGATCTAATCATCACTGAATTAGGATGGTTTTTTCTCTCTAGGTCGAAATTCTTTTCATTGTTGTGCATGATGGAGCAAATTGAGGTGGTGTTGAAGTGGTACAAGGAAATGTCACCTTCAGTAAGTGTGCACCATGGTAAGAGCTGCAGAGCTTTTCTGTGGAGAAATGGAGCAGTCACAGGTGACTGAAATGATTCTCTTCCTTCTTCAGGTCTTCTATCCATCCCCTAAAAATATATTGGACCTCCTTCAAGCACTGGATGCAGCCAACCAGCTGGAAGTGATCCCTTCAGTCTGGGAAGGTCAGTGGTGGCCACATGGCTTCACAGTTTGTCTGACAAATGCCAGGAGCAGTGCAAAGTTGGAGCCAGTGCAAAGCCTGGAAACTTCCCATTGCTTGGAGTAGCCATGAGAAGGTGCAGTGCTTGCCTGTGGTATTGAATTACCTGAACCCTCTGCAGATCCTTGGATAAGATTTAATCTAGCTCCCCAAAAAATGAAAATGAGTCACTCCTTAGTCCTCAGCAGGTGGTGGTGGAGGGTTCTGGCTGTGGGGGCTGTGGGCCTCAGTGTCCTGCTGCAGTTCAGGTCCAAGTTGCACTGAGGGCTGGTAACTGATGCTGCAGACAGTGCTCTGTGTGTCACGACATAAAACAGAGACCACAAGCAGTCTCAGTTGGTAACACTTGGCAACAGTTTATTAATGAAAATGGCTGATCTTTTATACACTTTCCAGTTGTTTACCCTTCTTCTACCTTAGCTATTGGCCACAATAATTCAATGTCATGCCATTGGTGAAAAGTTACTCTGACTCCACCTAACTTTCTAAAATCGCTTCATCCAGCTGCAGAATGCTCTTATCTTCCTTCTCTCAATCTCCTTGGTTACAACCTTGGAGAAAGCTCCTTATCAGCTTCTTCTTCTTCTTACTTCTCCCTCCTTTAGCTAACAGCCTGCTGCTAGCCCCTTCCACATGATGTTCCCTCCCTGGTCTGTGACAGGGTCACCACCACCAGGCTGCTCAGTGCAGGCACCTTGAGGGCCATTGTCAAGGGGATGCTTGGGCTGTCACCCAGAAATCCTGAGCCCAGCAGGGAAGGGAAGGAGGAATCAGATTAGTTTGTGTATTTGGTGCACAGCGTCTGATAATCAGGGGAAAGAAGGGGAATGTGGCCTGCTCAGTCACAGAGAATGGTTCTGCCTTGTTGAATTGTGCTGACCATGTTGTCAGGATTTGGGAACAGGGGTTCTGGTCACACCTACCAACTGCTGCCTCCCTACACAGATGTGAAACAGCTGGGGTTCAGCAGGAGACAAGACCTGTTGGAGGAGTTCTTGTCTCTGATGAGCAGGGAGCAGCACCCCAGTGAGGTAAGGAAGCTGCTAACTCCCCTCAACAGCTGACCCCCACACAGCCACCAGTGAGGTGGTGGGGGGAAAGTGTACCCCCCATTCCTCCTTTCCCCAGCTTTATCTGCTCAGCATGACATCCTGTGGGCTGAAACACCCCTTGGGCATTTAGGGTATCCCAGAGGTGTCCCCTCCCAACTCCTTGTTGTGCCACACACCTTGTGCACCCCCAGCCCACTCCCTTGATGCTCTTTAGGCACTGCCCAGCAATAACAAAAATATCCCTGGGTCATTAACATACTTCCCATCTTAAATACAAAACACAGCCCCATAGTAAGAAAGAGGAAAGTAAAGAGATTTCTCTCTGTCCCAGCCAGAATCAGCACAGAAGCTCAGCAGAGAGCAGTGGTGTCTCCCCAGCTGTAGGTAAATGCTGGATCCCTGGTCAGTCCTGGAGATCCAGTCCAGTGCATCTGCCACTGCAGATTTCCAGATCCACGTGAGCTTATCCAGGCCTGCTAAACCACTTGGATTGTCCTTAACCTACAAAGAAACCTCAGATTAGCAGAGCAGGATCCCTTCTTCCCAGGGTTTGGAGAAATAATGCAGCCCAGGTAGCCACATCTCTGGGGAAGCACAGGGCAGAGTCCAGGGATGCTGCCAAGGATTTCATTGCAGTAATTGCTCTCTCAGGCTGAAGGTGTTGAAGGTGAATACAGCTGTCCCTGCAAAGCCACCTTGGAGCTTGCCTAGTGGGGACAGCCATCCTGACAGAAGTGACAGATTTGTCTCCCTATGTAACAACTGTTAATTCACAAATTTAAACCACATACAGAGCAAACCTATAGGAGCTGCAGGAGAAATTGCCCTGAAAAGCTTCTGCTAATTCCAGAGGTTTTGTTGTTGACAGCACAATGTTTTCACAGGTTCAGCTGGCCTTTGCCAAGTGTGCTGAAGAAATCAAAGGTGTCCATGAGCCTGCTGGGCCGGGGCAGGTGCCTCTGGAGTGGACAGGGAGTGCTCTGGGCCACGTTGTGGTGCTGCTCTCCAGGGCTGGGAGAACACAGGATGCCTGGTACGTGTGGGCTCTGACACTGCAGCTCAAGGCTTAGGCACAAACAGCAAAAGCTGTGCCTTGGAATGCCAGTGCAGACAAAGGGAGGGGATAAAGCCTGCAGGGAATGTGATGGGGTTTTTTTTATCTTGTTATTATTCCTTCTTGACACTAAGTTACAGTTGTCTGTGTTAAAAATGGTTTAGAAACTGATGTAGTATCTGGTGTGTAGAGCTTTGTACAGCTGTGAATGGCAAGGTGTGCTCTGACAATCCCTGAGCACTGCTGGGTGCCAACAAGTTGCCATTTTTGATTTTTAGAACTCTTTGGAATTCAAACTGATAAAGGGATTATTAGTTTAATTAAATTTTTAATTAGCAGCAGTCCTAATTAAAACTCTGAATAGGCCATTTTTAGAACTCTGACAGAATTTACTGTCTTACATGCTCTAAACTTGTAATACAGGTTAAAATATCTAGCCTTTCATTTAAAGTTCTGAGCTATTTTCTCTTAAATACAGATGTTCAGTGTACACTGATTCATTTGAAACAAAGAAATAGCAACAGAGGAGTCTTTAAAATACTAAAAATATGTAGTATTTTAAAAGCAAATTGCCAGCAGCTACACTTACCATTTTCTGCAGAGTTGAGGATACTTTGTGTTAAACTAATCAGTGAGCTTGGCTGGTGCAGATTGCATTTGCAAGGATACAGCATGAGATCCATGGGGAAGATTGTTTCATGAATTTGAATTTACCTGTGTTTCAGTGGATCCAAGAGGCTGAATATCTGTCTGTTCCTGTTGTGTGTGGTTTTAAAATGACTCTTTTGTTTTCTTTTGAACAGGAACATGATGGAGCATTTCCAGAAAATCAACAGGATTCCCACGTAAGTATTTTTAGGTTCTCCAGTTACTGAGTCTCCCCTTTGGCTGAGATCCTGAATTTCTGTTCAGGGATGAAGGAATAGTTTGGGATGGAAGGGACTTTTAGAGGTCAGGTAGTCCAGCCTCCAGTTGTGACTGACAGTAAAGGTCCATTTATTTCCAGAACAGGAATGTGTGTCTGTCTGTGAGCATGGCTGTTTGTTCATCCAGTGGAAATATTCCAAGAGCTTTCTGTCTTGGAATGTGTTTCAAACATGTTGAAAGTGCAGAGTGGGAGGGAGTGAAGTGCTTGGTGTCTGAAGCTCTGGGCCATGAACTCAGCAGTGCAAATCAGTCTGAGCAGGGCTCACATCTGATTTCCCACATGCTCAGAAATATTCCAGTATGCCCTTAACCAAGCACAGGTGTTTCAGAGGTGCCTGATTCCTGAAGATAAGTTTATCAAGTCAAATGCTAAATCTGAGGTGGTTCCCTGTGAGGTTACACCAGCTTGCTTGTCTCGGGATTCTGGAGGAAGGAATTGTTTGAAGTAACACAACTTGTAAGGAATAGTAATGGGTTTTGGTTGGGTGGGGTTTTTTAAAATAAAGTTGGAGCTTGCCCCAGTGAACACCAGGAGGGTGTGTGGTACCAAAGCTACACACCTCGTGGCACTCTGTGCCTGCTCTCTTCTGCTGGGACAGAAGTTCCCCAACTTCCCACAGAGCCTTCCCTCTGTACCAGAGGTGAGTTCCTGGCAGGAGCAGAGATGAACTGGTAGATCTGAAAATGTCACCTTCTCCCTCTCTAAAGCATGGGCTGTAAATTCATGGGCACCTCTCCTGTGACCCTGACAACAGTCCCCACTTGCCTTTGCAGTGACAAAGTGATGGACGAGTTCTTGAGCTGTGCTAAGCAAAACAATTGCCCAGATGAGGCAATTAAGATGGTAAAGCTGGCAGCATCCCTTGGGCTTCCCTTATCTCAAAGGCTGAAAAGCAGAACAGAGGAGGAATTTGAACTCTCTGAAACACAGAAGTAAGTTGGAATGTTTTGTGTTCCTGCTGAAGGGGCACATGGACAGGGCCTTGGAGGGGCAGTGCCTTTGGAAAGGCTTCTCTGACAAGGGAGCAGACAAGTGGCTTTGGTGTATTGACTCCAGGACTGAAATGGCCCCTCAGGTTTTCATTCCACACTGCATCCATCCCACCTAGGAGGGAAGGGAATTTTCCATGGTGGGGTTACCCTTACCCACTGCTCAGTCCTGCTCTTGCCCTCCTTTCCTGGAATATTTCCCCAGCTGGGTCTGGCACTGCTGCAGCCCAGGAGAAGCAGGGCTGGTGCAGGTACAGCCCTGCCTGTGGCTGCCACCTTCTGAGGCTTGTGCTCAGCTCTCACTGCTGTAGCCAAGCCCAGTGATCCCCAGGTGGTGATCAGGGCTTGAGGGACCAGTTTGGAGCCAGATACAAGCCCAGCACCCCTGACAGCTGGCTCAGCACTTGGAGGGGAGCTTTCCCAAGAGGATGTGCTTCCACCAAATGCTGGGTGTCCTTTGAGGACAGTAGGCATTAGACAGCCCATAATGTTCTCTATTGGGGTTTGGGGGTCTCTCTTTTCAAGCACAAGTCACACAGGTGACTGATGACTGATCTGTTTGACATCACAGGAAGGCACTGGAGAGTATCAGGTGGGATGGTGACAGCAGTGACAGTGACAGCAGTGACAGTGACCGTGAGTAGCTGTCCCTCTTCCCTTCCTCTTGGGAAGACTGGGAGCAGCTGTTGCCACGATACCAGGAGGCTTTGGAAGGAGTGGAATTACTCAGGAATGGCTTCTGGGAGCTGCTGCAGCCCTGATGAACACTCTGAGTGTTCTGACACGGGACCTGCTTGGCGAGACAGCGTCCTCAGGTGCCAGCTGGAAGCTGTTCAGTCTGCTTGGCAGTGTGGGACCCAGCGTGGGCTGCCCCAGCTCTGCTCCCCAGCACTCCTGATAAACAGCATCACTGAGGGGGGAGGCTGCTGGGCACTCTGGGGGCTGCTCAGGCAGCCACAAGGCTTCCACAGCTCCAGCAGGATTCCTCACGGGCCTCCTGGCACTCGACCCTGCACCAGTGTAACTCCTTTCCATTTAACTTTGCTGAGCTACTTAAATACCAGGACTGCTCTGTATATGAGCACTGAAGTAATGCAATACTCAGCACCTGTGGTGTTTTGGGACAGGTGTTGCAGTCTAGATGTTAAATTACACTTTGTACAGCTGGAAACTGTCTAATAAATGGCTGACCTTAAAGCTGGCTGTGTTCTGATAATCCTTCAGCAAAAACTGGTTGAACCAAATTTACCTTTCTGGTAGAAATACCTGGTGTTCTAGAACTACAGCAGAGCAGCTCTGACAAGAAACCTGCCAGGGCAGGCTCTGCTCTTACACCAGTTTTGTTCATATCCTGTACTCAAACATGGTTTCTTTTTTTTTTTTTTTTAATGCTGTACAAATTAATAAATCACATCAGTGAATTCTTGCTTCTTGAAAGAAGTAAATTAGAGTTTTAACTCTTCAGGTCATGGAGAAAGACTGAGCTTTGTACTGCCAGACTGCAGTTGATGTTTAAACAGGAGACTTAAACAGCAGGAGCAAGTGGTTGAAGTCTTGTTTTATTCAGCTGACAAAGTGGCAAATGATTAATGGCAGGTTACAAACATTATTTTGGTTCGATCACAAGCCCACTTGGTAAGATGGGAAAACATTAATTCTTACACAAATTGTAGGGAAGCTTCCTGAAGTTGGTTGTCATGACAACTCAAAACCAACAAAAATACAACAGATGGTGAAATTAAATACAGTGCAAGGAAACAAGACGGTACCCGTGCTTTGATTTTCTGCTTCCAGCCCCTGCCAACAGCTCTGTTTGAACCCTCAGGAGATGGTGGGATTTCTGTCTGGCCCAGAACAGCTGAACTGCCTGCAAAGCTGCACTCCCAGCTCACTGCACCTGAGTTGTTCCCAACCCCACAGCACTGGCGTACGCTGTCAGGATATCCACGATCTGTTTGGTTTCCAGGGTCATGCGCGCCTCCGTGAGCCAGTCGTGCGCCACCCTCCTGGACTCCCCTCGCAGCTGGTTGACAAATTTGGCCGCCAGCTCCAGGTCTCCGTGCTCGATGCAGTAGGAGGCGTAAGACAGTAACTTAAACGTGTCGAGGTCGTCGGGGCCGAGCTCGGCCGGCGGCTTCAGCTGCTGAGGGTGGAACACCAGCAGCGACTGCAGGTAGGACAGGAAGTACTGGTACAGGCTGTTCCTGGTCTCGTCGATCATGGCCACTCGCTTTGCCAGTTTTTGGACCGTGTGGAAGCGCGCTCTGAGCGCCTCCTCGCTGTACACGCCGCGCGTCAGCGACTCCTGCGGCAGCGCCGCCGTTAAGGCCTCCGTGAAGGCGTTGTCGGCACAGCTGGCCTTGATGGCCTGCACGGCGCTGCCCAGGGGCTCCGTGGGACTGTCCCCCGTGCCCGACCTCATGCAGTATTTCAGCGCTTCCACCGACAGCCACAGCTGGTGGGCCTTCCTGGCCTGCTCCTCTGCCACCGCGTGACCTGCAAGGGAAGCCAACAAGGGGCTCTCAGTTGGGCACACGTGGCTTTGAGAACAAGCAGCAAGAGCCAGCCCTCTGCACCCTCTGCTTTCCAAAGCAGCCACCCCTCAGCACAGGCTCTAAAGCAAATCTGTCCTGTGGTGGTGTTTGCAGGGGTCTTAGGGTGAGGGAAGAGACGAGGATCTGACTCCATGTTTCAGAAGGCTGATTTATTATATGTTATATATTATATTAAAACTATACTAAAAGAATAGAAGAAAGGATTCCATCAGAAAGCTAGCTAAGAATAGAATAGGAAGGAATGATAACAAAGGCTTGTGACTGAGACAGTCTGGACAGCTGGGCTGTGATTGGCCATTAATTAGAAACAACTACATGAGACCAATCCCAGATGCACCTGTTGCATTCCACAGCAGCAGATAATCAATGTTTACATTTTGTTCCTGAGGCTTCTCAGGAGGAAAAATCCTAAGGAAAGGATTTTTCATAAAACATGTCTGTGACACTCCCACAGCTTACAGCCAAACAAGACAACTTTTGGAAGAACCACCTTGGACTTTGCTCATCTGGGATTTGCTGGTGTGAGCTACATGCCTAAGCCTGGGTTTAGATGCCCAAGTTTGGGCAAGGGGCATTTGGGGAACACAGCCCTTAAAGAAAGAGGAATTCAGTGCTCACTCTCAACTGCTTGCTCAATTCCCTTCAGCCTGGCATAGGCAGTGTTTATATCCAAGGTGAAGTTGTCAAGCTGTTCCTGAGTAAGGCGTCTGAACTGCATCTCCTGTTCGCTGAGCTTCTCTGATAGGTTCTGAAACAGTGCAATACAAGGAACAGAAACAGCAGGTTAATAACATTTACCTTATTTTAAAGGCATTTCTAGAAATCTGTTGTCCTTGTTAGGGCCAATGTATACAATAAATACAATATACCAGTAAGAAACCTTATTGGGGGAATTTAACAGTTACTGGACTTGTGTCAAACATTTACTATCTATAGCAAAAGCTTTTCAGACAAGTGTGAATAAAACCTACACACTGAGGCACTCTGTATCACCTCAAGGCAAGCTTGCTTCCCTCCCCACTCCCCATTTCCATCCCCTGGAACATGTTGCTTGTCATATGAAACCTGTGCTTTGCAAGGGTTTGAATATCTCTAATTCCCCTGGGAGCTCCTCTCCCTTACCTGCTCAAATTCCACTTTCAGATCCTGCTCCTGGATCTTCAGGACGTCTCGGAGGTGGTCGGTGTGGGCGGCAGCCTGGCGGCGCAGCTGC